TTTTCCATTTTTGTTATTTATATTTTTTCAAGTTTTTTCATTTTTTTAGGTTTTTTTTATGACCATACATAGCTTCACTTTAATATTCATATTGTTACATTTTTTTCTTTTGTTTTTAATTTATTTTTTCTGTTGCCTTTTTTTCCTCGTTCACTTTGAGACCAAAGCAAACGCGTAAAATGTTTAACTAAAATTATGTAAGCAGCATATGCATGTAAAGTAAGCAACAAACAAACAAATTTGAACGGTAAGGTTTGACACAACTCGACGCCAATACACTGCCACAGCGAAGCGGGGGGAGTCACCGACCGACCGACAGGCGATGCGTGCCGCGTAGCAAGCGCCGATGCGTGGCACGCACGTATACAGCTGAGTGTGAGCATGTGTGCTGCAGAACACGCCGCTGTGTGYGTGTGAAGAATGCGCGCCGCGCCCGTTGCATAAGTGTGCGTGCACGCCGCGCTGTACGCTACTCACGCACGCCGCCTCTGTATGTATTGTACTAAGTATATAGTAGTTAATAATAAGAGGGAAGTTGATAAGCGAGATTTTGTGTAAAAATGTTAACAATGAGTATAATGATGATTGAAATTGACATACATATATATTATATATAACTGCGGTGACATGCGCACGCAGCTGGAAAAACGCATACAGGCACTCCATGTATCTCCATGTATTATATTATTGATTTGTCCAAATTTTTATTATTTCCACATTCACAATTTGCAAATATTTCAAAGCAAAATCGTGTATTCTGCTAACATAAGTCTGTTATATGTACAGGACAGGTTCTGAGGTGTTGTTACTGTGCTTGGGAACAGCTGGGAGCAGACAAATGCTGGGAGAGGTCTTAATTCAGCTTTAAGCATGCCAACTTTTCGTATTGAAGAGAGCTATGAGCTTTTCGCTCTAATATTTAGGGTTTATATTTCGAGTTTTCTCAGAAAATTGTTCGCAAAAAATTCTCCCAAACTTCATAATTCGGCAACTTCACTTCAAAATCTAGTAGTGGAGATTCCAGCAGTAAGTTGAAAGTAACGCCAGCTCAACCATTTTTTTTTTTTATCTCCAAAATATCAGAAAGTTCCGCAGCCACAGCGATATTGTACATATATTTGGCCTAGCGATAAGTTAAGCTGTGTGTAAGCTATAGGCTCCCAAGCCTCTGAACAGCGATACAAGTAGGTGCGACCACTAGCACCATGTATTAAGATGCCAAAAGTCCTTTTACGAAACCTCTAGCATAGCTATGATAGACTCTAAAAAAATCTTTCTGTTTCCAAGCCAAGATTTGAGAACAAAAATCCACAATTAAGTAATAGTCTCAAACCATATAGCTCTCCAGCACACTATAAATTCCAAAAAGCAGTTTTGAAACTCCACCAAATCGCAGAAAATTTAAAAAAATCAATTTTGTTTTTGTTTTCTCTTTTTCCTATGCGCGTACGTAGTTTCTGAGCCCACAGCAGTAGAAATATGTATAGTGAATTTTAAGCGCCTGCCTTAGATTTTCTTCGAGTTCGTAAGCAACTACTCAGGCATAAAATTTAAAACACGCGCTTAGTTCCAACGGAGAGGAGTAAATATTATTTTTTATTTATATTTGTATATARAATTTTCCTTTAATACGTGAAGCGCTTGTTAATTTTGCTATGGCGAGAAATACAACGCATTTAGCACAAATCACCGTATTCAGATTATGTTCGAAGAATTGAGATTTTTTTCACCAGCTCGATATTTCAGCGCCATCTGGTGCGTTTTCAAGTAAAAAAAAAAAACACGAAAATTCAGCGCCATAAAGAACGGCTGACTCAGTAGACAAAACGCGTTCAAGGCAAATTACAGTGGTGGCGAATTAAATAAGCGAATACACACACACACTCTTAAGTGAAATCAATTATATTGTAAGCGCAGCGAAACGCCATAACAACAACAACTCAAAATAATAAACAAAAAACATATGAAAACATTGTRAGCAAATCTGGTTAAAGTTAAAACTCGTATAAGCATTTGAAAAATCGTCACTCGAAAACTAAGAACAGCAACTGAATTCATTAGAAAACTGARCAAAGTTGGCGAAACGAGGCGCGCCAACTGAGCGGCGCTGAGCGCAAGCTTGCGCTGAGCAAAAGCAGAGAATTGAATGTGAATCGAACAATTATAGTAACGATCGAATTGTTATTGTAATCTTGTCTAATTTCCAAAATTAGTATATAAATAAGCTAGTATTAATATTACAAACTCATAGAAACTAAAAATTAAATAAATAAATATAAATTAAAACATAAAAAAAACTAAGAAGAAACATGATTTCATATATGGAAGTGAGATTGTGCAGTGAAATGAAAAAGGAATTAATAAAAAAATAAATATAAAAAAKTTACATACTCATTTAAGGCAGAGAACACTTGACGGAGAACTGGTCAAGCGCAAGCACAGCCGTATTGTATGTACTACATGTAACCACACAACTGAAACAAAGCAGACAAAGTTTGAGGTGGGTGACAAGCTTACAGGCAAAGAGAAAATTGAGCTGGAAAGCTTTACAAGTCTATCATTCTCATCACAAAGCCCACAGAATGCTAAAAAGCTCTTGAGCGCCTCAAAATCTTTTCAAAATCATACARAATGGTGCAAAGCTCGAAAGCGCTTCAAAAGCTCTTCAAAAGCGCTGATCGACTCAAGCGTCACATGTTGCAGAGAGCACTAACAGCTTATGAACTTTCGCTCTCTCGCTCTCAGGCGCGTTTTTTACGCAATCTGCACTCGGTGTGTCCACTTACATACATACTTACAACTACGAAAGTTTCATTTCCATTCWACAGTTTTTCATCAATTTCATTAAACAGCTCAGTACTTTGAACTCTCACATATTAAGGTTTCACTCTTTCGCTCTTTGAAGTCTTCAGTTTCATTACGCTTTCTCTCCACATTCCACTCACTCCACTATCGCCTCATCACATCACATTAAGCATAAGAAAGAAACTTGCAATGAAGCATACGAAATTCTAAATGAATAAAATTTATTAAAAAATTGGTAAAAATTAAACTACTTAAGCACACACACACACACAGCGTAATAATGTTGGTTACCACATAATTTTATTGAACAAAGGTAAACCTACACACACATAGACACATATGCAATAGTGTGTCAAGCAACAAAATGTTAATTCAATTCGTTCGAAATAATAACAAAAAATGAAAATGGTGAGAAATAATTAATTCGTGTTTTTATATAAATCACACACATACACACGTAAGCGTAGTAAAGCACAAATTTTTGATTTCCAAATAATTTACGCCACTTTTTTTTTAAACTAATTTCAATTAGGTTTTTCATTGTTTATTTTAAGTTTTTTAAAGCGATTTTTATTATTTTCTTCTAGTACAAATAGTGATCTAGATATCTTAGTACAGTGCTAGCAACAGCCGTTAAGTAAATAACAGTAAAAAAAAAAAACAAACAAAAAAAGATTGCGTTAAACATAAAGACAAAAATCACAGCTGATTAAATCCGTAAACAAAGCAAAAACAAAAACAAAATATTTCCAAAAAAATCCAAAAAACCAAACACAACAGCAAAACCAATTAAGCTGTCGAGCAAACACTTGCATAAATAGTTAAAGACGTAACGGGATATTATTATAATTACTTGTAAACGAACATTCACACTTAAACGTAATGTAAGCTCTAAGTGGAGATAACTAAGATTAAGTATGAATTGTGAATGCATTAGCGTTAGCGTTGGTAGGAGCTGCCAGAGCAGTGGCCACCTTAGGAAACCTTCAATTTCGTGTTTCTCCTGCTTTCGGGTCATTATTTGTAAATTATTTTTTACTGCAAATATTCTTAATTATTATATAAAGGGCATTATGTTTAACAACTAACTACGAATTAACATTAAAAACACTAAAATGTAATTAGTTAAATATTATGCATTAATGAGATTATTAAGTTGATTGAAAAATAAGATGAGCAAAGTGAAATTTTTAAACGAATAAAATTACAAACAGTGAAAAGCATACAAAAAATCATAAAAATCAATGCAAAAAAATTACACAAAAAACGAGTTTGCTTTCATTTCAAGGGGAATATAAATAGCGCGTAATTCTTCCACAAACAAGTAAATCTAACCGCCACTTGAGAACATCGAACAATCTGTGCTCCCTCCTTAGTTGAAGAGGTGGACTATGAGCTACATGAGTGGTGGACAATCAACCGCAACCTTTCGAGCTAAAAACGCTAAATTGAGAAAAATTACACAGGGGGTTACGCAAGGTGGTGTCCTCTCCCTGTGGCTGTTTAACTTCAGCATCTCGAAACTTACTCAACAAAACAGAGGGACTCATCGTACGCTGATGATTGCATTATAATGATGACGGCCAATGGAATCGATTGGATGTGCTCAAAAGTAAACGGCCATCTCTTCGACCTTTTTCGCTCCTCGCTGCACGGAACCTAACAATCTCCATTACTAAGTCCACAGCGACCTTATTTGCAAACTGAAAGATGGAGTACAGATTCGACCTTAATATTGCAGTCGACGATGGTCTAAGATTTTTTTGGTATAACACTCGACAGCCTGAGCTCCTGCACTCCCTACACGACCGCGATTACTGCGAAAGTAGAGAGCCACAACAAAATTCTGGGGAAAAGAGAAAGAAACGTTGTTGGCAACCTACAAGGCAATCGTTCGGCCGGTTCTTAACTAAACCGCACCAATATGGTCGCCTGGATGCAGTGAAACGTAGACGAGGAAGCTTCAGACTTGTCCGAGTACTGCACTCCGGACCATAACAGGATGCCTCTTGATGTCTTTCATCGATAATCAGTTAAGTAGCATAATGAACTCCGCTCCAAGCAGTTTCCAAGCAGTTTCTGCTGTTTTCGTAGAAATTCCCTGTAGTCACCTGAACCTCCTCCTGGGGGCATCAAAAAAATCCTTTGTCAACTTTGGCGACGTCATAAGACAATACGCCGACCAGACTTCGGACCCAATCAGATTCAGAATGCACTGACCGCTATTCCCAGTGGAGCCATAAGCCCCTTCACCGATTTCCTCTTAGTGAACTTCGAGTCAAACGACCACGCATTGCARACAACGAGCTATGGTTGCYACGAGAATCGAGAGTGACTCTTGCGCAGCTTCGTTCTGGATACTGYAGCAGATTAAACTCGATCCCGRCATACAAATAATGTACCCAGCATGCAACGAGTCYCCGCACGRCAGTAACCACCTCTTTGCATACCCAACCAACCYTGCATATCTATACCTCTAAAAAATATCATAGAATCTCAACATCTTGTGAATGAACTTAACWAAWTYCGGTTAATGTTTTGGGTATGAAACGTGTACTAAAATATTTTGCAAAAACGATGTTTTAGTARAGGTCGCAAAGAAATGCTTGGCAACTTAGCTGAGAATGCTATATATAGTTAGGTTTTACGAATATGACGTCGAAACTATCGGAAATTCTAACGAATGGCTGAAACCKAAATTCGGTGAAGGCACAKACGGCCAYCCCAGCCGAGGCTTATAACAATTATAGTGGAAATTAAACTAAGCGATATTTTATTTTTGTATTGGTTCAACGGTCTACTTTGAAGGCGAAAATGTTATTGTCATTTCATCAGTCTGGGTCCAATTTGATGAGTTGTCAGTCTATAACAAAAGGTTTCTTGAAAATGTATTGTTCAAAGGTCTACTTTGAAGGCGAATAAATTACAATGTTATTTCATTACATCAGTCCGGTGTCTGTTGGTAGTCCAAAATAACAGATTTCTTGGAAATTCAGAATTTAAGAAACAGTCGAAAACGCAAAACAACAAACGTTTGGTATGCCCAAGAAAAGCTATCTTTGTAACGATATATATATARTATTATAGTATTATTTAGGGGAAGAGTTGTTGATCCTTTTTCACAAAGCATGTGCGATGTTTGGATATTAAAARATATACAACTAATTATCTTTTTCGTTAACTCAAACTCGTGATATTTCTRAAAATATAGCATTTATAGACCTCCTGAAAARKCACTTTACTTTGACCATTCTCCATTGGTCTCAGAAAGTTTAACAGTCACCATTTAGGAAAATGTATTTAATACCTTTAATGTGATGGAATAGATAATAGTTTCTATATTATAATAAGCTCCAAMTCCAACTCCAACCCCAAAGAATACACACTTTATTGAACAATTGACTCTCACTTACAGCATTTAACCAGCAATTACTTAAGGGAATTGCTTTTCACTATCGATTTTGTTAATTAATAACTTAAAGGGCAGGAGCATATACAGTACGGTGGTAAAATATATTTCCTTTACTATCACGATTGCAAACAAGAAAAAGCGAATAGTGATCTTTTCTGACATATGGAAAAAGGAAAATTTCCCGTTCCTTCTTTAGATTATTTTCAAATGTATTGCATGATAAAAAATTTCAATTTAAAGTAATGTTTAAAATCTCACAATTTGTCTAATTGACTGAAAACATTTTGCACAACACTGTACCTCCTACCATGTAAAAAGTAACAGACTATTTTAGAACAGCACATACAGTTACAATTTAATTGTTGCACGTCAAGGTGGTTAATCGTTGTTCGTGAAAATGCGAAGTCTCAATCGCGTAGGCCATGAAAGTAACGTTAAAAGCGATAAAACACGAAAACCTGTAAAGAACTCCATTCTCCTCTACTTGAAGTGTCATTTGTTGTTACTTAAATATTTGGGTCTATTACCGTTCTATACCACGCTTGGTGCCTATGAGATTGGCATGCCAACCCAACGTTCGATATATATATATAGAGCCGTACTTTTGGCTAAATTTGCGTTGAACATTTCGCACATCAATGCCGTTCTGTCACCCATAATACTGCAGCTACTGTTTACAAGAAGCAATACGGACGGTATTACCAACTTGTTGGACGTGGCCTTTTGTAYGCTCAGCGATATCACAATAACGTGGACCTGTGCCACTAGTACCACGGAAATCCTGCTGATAATCAAAAGCTTCTTGAGAGTGGACGAGCTACTCAGACAACATCCAGATTCGCCAGCTGAACGAAGCTGTGCCACCAATCATTTCAATAGATATTTATTCTTGGTATTCGGTTATATTTCTCTCGTCATGATTRCATACGTAAAACACACTTTGGACTATTTCTCAATATACTTTTGCGCCTACATAACCTTCTACCAGTTGGAGAACGCGATCTCGTGCGGCTTTGTTGTATTCGTTTCAGCGCTACTGCATCTGCTCACGGAGCGCTTTCAGTACGTAAATCAGCTGATAGAGCAATACAGCAGCAAAAATTTACTAAAGAAACGGTATCCCTTTCCGAACACAAGGTCGGTTTYAATCTTCGACAGAGATGCAAACACGCACGATGATGTCAATTTGAGAATGTTTGCGCAGAATTCAGCGAKGATTTATAGTTTGTACATCGATTTGCTGGATATTTACAAGATGGTCAATAAATATGCCGGTTTGGGTCTCTTGATGTTTTTACTGTACGCCTGCTATGGCTTATTGTCCTGCGCCTACGATTGCTTCGTGTGCGAATGGCAAACGAGCGGYGATTTGTATTATGGCATCTGGACATTCTCTTGGATACCTCTTTATGCGGGAATTCTAATACTCTTGGCAWCTAATTGCGCGAAGGCTACAAGTCAGGTTGGTAGTGGTTGGAAATCTCGTAAAGTACTCTTAGCATCTAAATCATTTCGGTAAAAAATAGCGTTTACAGCTTTACTAAAGGCGTTTTCACTGCAGAATTGTCTAATATCTCGACTCTCTAGTCAGGCTTCCGGGAATTTAGGCTTTCAGCATTTATTCAGCTCAATAAAATATTAGCTGAAGAAAGCGCTGAAAACCACAATGCTTGAAAAATCTCTTATGAAGTTGAAATGTGAGAACTATATTAGAAATTTTTACCTCGACGTTGATTTAATGGTGGGACGTCTAATGAGGAAATTGACGATAACTTTCACAGCGACGAACTAATTATTGTCGCCACATGGGACCATTCCCGGACCACTCCAGGAAAGAGTGGAACGCGTAACTAAGCAATAAACAAGCAGCAAGGAAGCCTCTGTTAGAAAGACCAGCAGAAGGACCTCCCTACATTTGRAATCTCCAATAGGCGCCAAACGACTGCCACGCTGGTATAATAAAGAAGAATAATGTATTCCTAATCAACTCGACACGTGTGTCCATCAATGCATAAATCAAATAAAAGAAGTAATTAATTTATTGTCGCGGTAGATATTCTTGATGGTCACTTGTTCATACCTAATCAGGTTTTATGATCGCTGAGCTCAATTAAATTTGTAATCAATAATAAAGAAAGTTCAAGKTAGTGCGTGGGTGAAACGAGATTGCCACCTAGCGATAGAGTATTTACGAAAGCCCCCTACAGTTGAAATTTCTGTGTTCCTTGAGTAGGTTGTGCATTGTAGCCGTGTAGATGAGAGATACCAATCGAGCGCTCACTACAAATAACGCTGGAGCTGAWGATGTGCCAAACAGCCATCGTCACATACTAGTGTTTCTTAGGTGGCCCTTATTACTGCTGCGACTTGTTGGTATTTCACCATTGTACACTAAAAAGGGCCAATACGAGATCGGTTTGCCGAAGCGACGTGGCATGTTCATTACCCGAGCCGTGCTTGTAACAAAAATCTTATTGAATATTGTGCATATCTTATATTTGTTGTCGCCCACAATGCTAGAGATGCTCTTCTTAAAAAGCAATACGGATGGCATAACAAATGCGCTGGACATCGCTCTATGTATACTCAGTGATGCTACAATAACGTGGAGTTGTGCAATTAATACCGATAAAATTATTAA